CCAAACTTTGGCATCGCTAATTCTGACAAATTGTTTGATTTTTTCATTGTACATGTGTCTGAGAATTGTTTCATAGTACATGTCTGTTAGTTTAGATGGAAAAGCATCAATACAAATCAAATGATGTCCAAATTTTCGATAAAATATTGATCGAGCAATGTTTTGAAGACGTTTATTTGTGTCAGAAACATTGATCAAATCTTTCAATTCCAAGTGGCACAAAACCATTTCAGTTACATCTTCGCACAAATCATTGAATTTTGTCGTAGCAATTTTATTTTGTAATATTTTTGATTCTTTTTCATGCAAATGACATTCTTCGTGTTGTTGTTTACGTTTCACTGTAGATTTATTGATGCTTGACTGCAAATTAAGAAAACAGTTTGAGTGAAAAAAAACAAGAACCAAACTCAATGTCCTTACCACAAGATTGTCATTTTCAGTTTGAGATAATTCTGCTTTGGTCTCAATTTTTGCAAGTATTCCATCCATATTGCTATCGTCTTGCATCTTATTTTCTGTGTCTTTGATAAAAAAAATTATAATCCAAGATATCAATTTTACTTTCTATTTTTTTCTTCACGCACTTTCGTTAGTTTTTGCTGTTTACTTATGCAACGCAAATCAATTTATCATGGTTTTTCTGTCACAAAAATTCATTGAATTCGCTATGCATTATGTTGAATATACTTTGAACTAACTTCATGTGCAACTACGCCCAAGTGGTAAAACATCTTGCACAAAACATAAACGAAGCAGTGAAAAATAATTTATTTTTCGAAAAGAAAATATGAACAATCGAAATATTGAGCCATAAAACTTATAAAACGATATTATTTTCATTTGATGTAAATATTCTATTTAAGCAAATGTTTGAGTATGAATTCGCTGATAAATGTAAGTGGGAAAAGAGCACATTAAACGTATCCATCCATGGCCGTTTGCAACTGTCAAATACATATACATTACATACATTATGTGATATGTCAAACCAAAAATATTAAACTTGAAAATTTGAAAAGATATTTGTTTTATGCCAGTTCTGTTTTTTTTACATACAAATTTTGCTATTTTTATTTTAAATTGAAAAAGAAGAAGATCAAAAGGTAGAAAGGGTTCAATTAAACGTTGTAAGTAATTGATATTATTGAATTTATATTCATTTATTCATTCGGAAATTATTGAGTGACTTGTTATATTGTCACAATTACTTTTCAATTCAATTAAACTAAACAGTATCATTATTAACTCTCGTTTTTGTTAGGTCGCGACGAAGTTGCCTCTCAATTCAACGACTGGTGAGGTCCGTGAAGCATTTGCTGCACTTGCTGGAACGTCGAGTATGATTCCGAATGCCCGCGACGATTCTAGTGATTCCAGCGATTTCAGTGATTTCATTTGTCCACATGGAATAATTGTAATAGGAAATTTTGCTTTACTCTATTCACAATTTTATCAAATCAAACAAAATCTTATTGTTTGTTTTTTGTTTTTCTGTAGGACGACATCGCCAAAAATCAAGATCGAATTGCGGAATTTCTTGAACGACCAGAAAGAGATTTCGACGATCTAGCCAGTCTTACTAACTTCAGTCCGACGGCTGTTCAACGATTGTACAAAAAAAAAGAAGAATTGCTCCATATTTATCATAATGATGTAAAAGAATTTGCCAAGAAGTTATATGAAGTGGGTGTTGATTGTGAAAAATCGGTAAAGCGTAAATTG